GTATAGGTTTCATAATGTTTGGTTTGGGCAAACTTAAGTTACAGAATGGAAACTAAAAATTTTGCAATCTTTCGATTTATAAAGGGGCATACCTCAATAATGATTAAAGTGACACTATCCAAATTCAACTTCATCTGTGTTTCATCAGTGGAAGTCAAAATTAAACATTGCATTGTATAAAGCATTGATTGTAGTTGATTCAACTATAATCATGGACAAAGGAAGATAATTCCAATTTTAATAAAATTACTTGATATTTAGAAGAAAATAAAAATTTAGCAATTTTTCCATTTCTAAAGGGGCATAACTCTAGAATGGTTGAAGTAACACCACCAAAATTCAAACTTGATCTGTGTTTTGTGGTAATAAGCATTGTGTATAAGTTTCATAACATTTGGTTGAGGCAAACTTAAGTTAGAGATTGGAAACGAAAAATTCAGCATTTTTTCCATTTGTAAAGGGGCATAACTCTAGAACGGTAAAAGTGACGCCACCAAAATTCAAAGTCGAGCTGTGTTTCGTGGTAATAAGCATTGTGTATAAGTTTCATAACATTTGGTTGAGGCAAACTAAAGTTAAAGAACGGAAACGATAAATTCAGCGTTTTTCCATTTGTAAAGGGGCATAACTCTAGAACGGTAAAAGTGACGCCACCAAAATTCAAACTTGATCTGTGTTTTGTGGTAATAAGCATTGTGTATAAGTTTCATAACATTTGGTTGAGACAAACTAAAGTTAGAGAACGGAAACCAATTTTGGTACGTACGTACAGACGGACAAGGGTAAAACTTAATACCCCCTCCGCTACGGTGGGGGCATTTAAAATTAAAATTTAGCAATTTTTCCATTTCTAAAGGGGCATAACTCTAGAATGGTTGAAGTAACACCACCAAAATTCAAACTTGATCTGTGTTTTGTGGTAATAAGCATTGTGTATAAGTTTCATAACATTTGGTTGAGGCAAACTTAAGTTAGAGATTGGAAACGAAAAATTCAGCATTTTTTCCATTTGTAAAGGGGCATAACTCTAGAACGGTAAAAGTGACGCCACCAAAATTCAAAGTCGATCTGTGTTTAGTGGTAATAAGCATTGTGTATAAGTTTCATAACATTTGGTTGAGGCAAACTAAAGTTAAAGAACGGAAACGATAAATTCAGCGTTTTTCCATTTGTAAAGGGGCATAACTCTAGAACGGTAAAAGTGACGCCACCAAAATTCAAACTTGATCTGTGTTTTGTGGTAATAAGCATTGTGTATAATTTTCATAACATTTGGTTGAGGCAAACTTAAGTTAGAGAACGGAAACCAATTTTGGGACGTACTTACGTACAGAAGGACAAGGGTAAAACTTAATGCCCCATCCGCTACGGCAGGGGCAAAAAAAAAAATTTCAAAAACTCACAAGTTTATTGAAATCAATAACAATGTTTTAATGGAGCATAAACTTATCATAAACAGACAGATAAGGTGAAAACAGAATTAAGTTATGATGAAAAGCTCTGACAGTTACTCATACAAAAAAAATATATGGATCTGTGAATATTGTATAAATCAAAAAAAATGTAACAATACTATCAATGAAATAAGTAAATCATATCGATAATTTTTTTCAAAATTTTACATCAGTAGTGTACACATTATGACATAAACTTTAAACATATTAGTTTATGCCTTCAGAGATTAACCTTTATAAATGCATAAATATAATTGCTGAATTTAAACTACCAATATTCAATTTATATAAGAATGTGTACACCTGACCACTCTTTAACTCGTATTTATAATGTATTCTATATTATAAATTTAAAGGTGTTCATATGTACAAACTATATTTTATCTTAAATCAATGTAGTTCACAACTTGACAATGTTAAGTTGTTTCTTTTTCTAAAACAAAAATTCATTAATTTTTTATTAAGTTTAGTTCTATTCAAAACAACTGGACACTTTCTTGAAGTAGAAATCCAAATTGTCACCCTGGCTATGATTTTTGTAATAAATTTGCACAATTGATAATTGCAGTGGATAATAAGAATAAAATTGTTTTAAGAATTCAAGGTTGATGAGGAAAATTACTAGTAAGAGTAGGACAAGATTTTAAAATTGTATACTACAAGAATACTTACATTAATACTAGAATTAAAGCTGTACTTGGTAGGTTCACTCAATATAGATTTGATATTAATTTTATATTCAAAGTTGAGGCGGCAAGCTATGATTGATTAGAATGTACCTTTATACATGTACTGTGGATTCATTATTATGGGTTGGATACCATTTTTCATGGATTTCGTGGGAATAGATAGATAAACCAATATTTAAATGTTCAGCGAAGTATAAATTTCTCATTGGAAAGTATACAAACTTTTGTAAAACCACAAGAGTGGACACGCTGAAATGTCTCGCCTTCTTTACTAACCATTGATATTATGTTGATAGTCCTAAATGAAAGCTTTACTACAACTATTACATAAACTTAACATGATCCAAGAAAATGAAGTCAAGGTCATATAAACCAAACGAGAAATACATGTACACCTTACAATCATTCAATTCACTAAATATAGTTGACCTATTGCTTATAGTTTCTAAGAAACAGACTTAACCAAGAAAACTAAACATTGACCAATGAATCGTGAAAATGAGGTCAAAGTCAGATGAACCATGCCAGGCAGACATGAACAGCTTACAATCCTTCCATACAACAAATATAGCTGACCTATTGCTTATAGTTTAAGAAAAACAGACTGAAACACATAAACTTAACACTGAGCAATGAACCGTGAAAATGAGGTCAAGGTCAAACAAAACCTGCGAGACTGACATGTACATCATAGAATATTTCCATACACCAAATATAGTTGACTTATTGCATATATATAGTATAAGAAAAAAGACCAAAACTCAAAAACTTAACTTTGACCACTGAACCATGAAAATGAGGTCAAAGTCAGATGACACCTGCCAGTTGGACATGTACACCTTACAATCATTCCATACACCAAATATAGTAGACCTATAGCATAAAGTATAAGAAAAACGGACCAAAACACAAAAACTTAACTATAACCACTGAACCATGAAAATGAGGTCAAGGTCAGATGACACCTGCCAGTTGGACATGTACACCTTACAGTCCTTCCATACACCGAATATACTAGACCTATTGCTTATAGTATCTGAGATATGGACTTGACCACCAAAACTTAACCTTGTTCACTGATCCATGAAATGAGGTCGAGGTCAAGTGAAAACTGTCTGACAGGCATGAGGACCTTGCAAGGTACGCACATACTAAATATAGTTATCCTATTACTTATAAGAGAGAATTTAACATTACAAAAAATCTGAACTTTTTTTTCAAGTAGTCACTGAACCATGAAAATGAGGTCAAGGACATTGGACATGTGACTGACGGAAAGTTCGTAACATGAGGCATCCATATACAAAGTATGAAGCATCCAGGTCTTCCACCTTCTAAAATATAAAGCTTTTAAGAAGTGAGCTAACGCCGCCGCCGCCGCCGGATCACTATCCCTATGTCGAGCTTTCTGCGACAAAAGTCGCAGGCTCGACAATAAAAATCATGTATCAACGAAATATATAATTTTCAATCCACGAAAATTGATAGCAACAAAAATAAATGAATCCCTAGTGGCTCATTCTTTCACAAATGGCAATTTTTGAACATTATGTATGTACATTTATTAACCAGATCTGAATACATAATTCAATTCAAGAATCTTACACATCCTTGTTACTATTATCACTAAAAAAACATTTCCAATTACTCTCAATATTGGTGGGATTAAAACAAATGAATGCATGTTAGCACGATTGTGTCTGATTGAAAAAAAAAGTTCTCACAGAAAATTTTAAAAGAATACCAAGCAAAGAGGGGTTTCTAAATTTTAAAGTCTAGATGATTTTTAGCAGCTAAGGTGTTAAATATATGTATTAGATATAAAAAGGACTTGCCAAAATCTGTAATGTTACAACATTTATTAATAATGTGGACGGACATTTATCACTAGAGGTGTTACAACAGAAACAGCCAGTTAAAAATAATATCTATTTAATAAATAAATGCCCACTTTTATTTCCAAAATTTTGTTTATTGCCTACATTCATATATAAAATATGAGAGAACAATTGATAAGTAAATTTTGAATCCTTTCAACAATGTAGTTAAATTTTTTTCGATATTTATTTTTATGTATACCATATATACACTAACCAAAGCTATACATATGATTTAGCCAAGTTGGGCAAGTGGTCAAGGGTGCTGGACATAGTGCAGGCAGATTGCCACAATTACAGAGAAGCATGGGTTATAATCCCACCAAGAGAAGGACTAACAGTTGCTATCTCAAATTTGCACATCTAACTTTGTTGGGATTAATTTCAAATGAAGTATTTATAAAAATCTGGCAATATCTCAGCATTGCAATGATTTGAATCTGAATGAAGAAAAAATGGAAACTTTTAGCAGAACAAAACTGTTTACCAATGAAATAACTTTGCCATTCTGTTGCAACAAGAAAGCATTGATTTTATGAAAATAACTCTTTTTAATACCATTAAGATACGATAAATGACATAGATGGCATAAATGTATATTGGTTTAATTCTCAATGAGTCTATGATTACAATGTAATGAAAGATGAAATCTTGGCATACTGTAGATTTTAAACATTGATTTTTTTCATGGCAAACAGAACTTTTATCTTAAAAACAGTGAACTAAAATCATTTAAAACTAACCATTTTGTCATCTTTAGATTAAAAGGTGAAAGAGAAAATTTAACGAAAACTTAGTTCCAAGATAATATACCAACATAAATGTTCACCCTCTTGTTACTTCAAAAATTCTCAAACTATTTTTATTATAACACAGACATTATTCTTCTGTAATGATAGTCATTAAAAGCTCTGAGTATCTGAATCTATGACTTTATGCAGAACAGATCAACTTTACCTAAAGTAATGAAAAGAACTATAAATGATAAATATGCATTTATTAAATATACTAATAAAATAAACAACTCATTAATAAATATATTTAACACTGAAAACAAATATTCATCAATGAATCTTCATGTACCACGTACCAATTCATGTATTAATCTTGATCATTATACAATTTTACAGCTAAACTACTTCAGTGTGTAGAAGACTCAATAAATATTCTGTTTTTAAAGTGAACCATTTATTCATTAAATGCTAAGGTAAAAATAACGGCTACTTATCAAAACTGGCTCTGCAGCCCTCTTTTTAAAACCAACTGCTAGTTATTCCAAAAAAGTTTAAATATCAGTTAATCTTGGATAAATTATCAAACAGGCAAATTTAAATTCATTGAACTTCCCACATACTACTGCAATTTATTTGTAATATTCAAATGACTCAAGATGATACAAATGACAGTAGGTAACCATTTTTTTAAATGAGGCAGGCTGCAGTCACAGCCTCCATTTACCTTTCTTACCTCTTTTCATTATGAATCTCAGCTGATCTGATTATTTTAAAAAATGCCTAAAATATAGCCATCATGTATTATAAAATTAGTTTTAATATCTTAGATTTCCATAAATAATTGATTGACAAATTATTTGAAATTAAAAAAAAATAAACATACATGGTAATATTTAAAAAAATATCTTTCATAGTAGGCGGATATCTCTTTAGTATACAAAGACAAATTTCTGGTTTCCAGAGTTGAGTGATCAATCCTTATACAAATTTCTTCTTCCATATCTTTTATCAGTTTACAGATTCCATCACGACAAAATAAACATCAATTTACAGTACAGTTAATCACATCATTGTTGTTGGGGATCAGGATTGCTATCAGCATCTACAACAAAGGAAGATAAAAAATAATCAACAAATATATTCCTCAAATAAATAATGATTCATTATTAAATCTTACTCCAGTTTTTGGAGGGGTTTGTTTTTCTCAGTGTTTAGTTTTCTATGTAGGGTTCTGTGGAATTGTTCATCTTTTCATTGTTTTTTTTTCTTTTTTTTTTTCTTTTTTGCCATAGTGTTGTCAGTTATTCTTCCACTTCATGAGTTTTGAAGGGAAGAAAAGTTGAAACCTTACTCGTAAAAATTAACAATGATGATGTCATGAATTATAGAATAACTAATCGAAGAATTCAAATAGAGAAAAATATTCAACGAGTGACCTAACAACACATTAATTCAATAATGCGCTTAGCGCATGAGTTAATTATCAGTGTTGTTCGGTCACGAGTTGAATATTTTTCGATATTTGAATTCTTTGATTAGTTATTCTTTTTATTACATTGGCAAATGGCTTTTTTTAATGAAATTAATGTAGAAAATGTAAGGAACTATATCTTTTTTCTACGCATTCACTATTTGTTTTGATCCGACGTTATCGACGTCTTGACAACGCCTATTGTTGTATGACGTCAGAGAGTGAAATAACCACGTTTATTTCACATGTGAAATTATCGGTTTTTATTTGACTGGGAAATCAATGTAATTCAATGCTATCAATGTAATAATTACATTTATCACACAATCCATACATCAAATGCTAAGAAAATTCATGTCAAAAAATTCAAAAGAGGTATGTCTATTTCCCATGTATTTGTGTCACCTATACAGAGTCAATATAGTAAAGTCAATGAAATTAGATAAAATTAATATGAATATTATCTTATTTTGTCATAAAAATCTAAATTATACTTATAAGACATGAATCAGGAATACAATGAATTTTAGTTAACATTCAATGACTCTTTGAAAGTTTACCATCTAGTGACATAAATACGGATAGAACTGGTTCTTCTGCATTGTAGTGAAATATGAATATGTTGTTTTCTCAATCAGGACTTTTACAAATAAAGATATCTTTACCTATAGAGGTTAAATAATTTTCAAAGTAAACCAACATTAAAATTGATGTTCAACTTTATATAAGAATCTGGTGTGAAGCCGAGTTTTAAAAGTAGACAGACAAAGAAATGATTCCTGTGTACCTTTCTGAGATGAGTGTTATGTTTAAATAGAATACCGAGATTGTTTTTTCTAATTTATTATTTTTTTTGGGGGGGGGCTTGCAAAAAAAATGAAGAATGAAAAGCTGTTTCCGTTATTGTTTTTAAAATATTGAAATTATCTAATGCAGGCCTAATTGTATTCAAAACTTCATGATCTCATATCAAATATTATTAGGGTATCAGTCCAATTTTAACCAATCAATCATTTCATCTAATGGTGAGGAAAAATAACTAATTATTCTATCTTATTATCATGTTTGCATAATATTTCATCTGCTAGTTGCAGTATATAAAACTGATGTAAATAAACTCATCATAGATACCAGGATAGAATTTTGGACACCAGATGCAAGTTTTGTATACAAAAGACTCAATAGTGACATACGAATCAAAAAAGTTAAAAAGGCCAAACAAAGTATGAAGCTGAATGCTTACCATTACTTCCATCTGGATTATTAGGTGGTCTACCCATTTGTTGTCGTAATTGTGCTACAAGCTCAGGATTACTTTCTTGCATCTGTGAGGCCATTTGCTGACCACTGAAACAACCATTATTGAAACGTAAAGTGTTAATGAATCATGAGGAATTCTTTGCATAATGAATATCAGAAAAATTATCTAAAAAGTTGAAAAATTACCACTCAAGATCCTAGTTCTAATACTCTAGATCTATTTTGTTGGTCTAATATGTCTGTATAAACCAGTACTACTTTCACTTATTTAAACAATCTAACTTAATCTCACTGTATGTTGCCCTTTAGATATCTTTTGATTTTTTGGTGTCATTGGATTGCTGCCTCACTGAAGTATACTGCACACCTGTTTTTTATTCTTATCATTACCCTCGTAACCTGAAATATTACAACTTAAAAACTTGATATTATTGTCAGTTTGAACACAAATTATAGTCCTGAAGTGGTAGATTATGGTCTGAGAATTTATCCTCAGTATTCTTTATAATCACTTATATTTCTTCCAATTTCTATTAACATTAATACTAGTGATATTTTTCTCTACTGTCAGACTTACAGGTCAACATTTAGTATTAACAAACTAGTTTATGTGAAATAAAGACCCATCAGTATGAAGTGCAGAGGTTTCACATAAACAGAGTTCCATTTAAACTTACATTTGTAATATGTTACCGATTCCTCCCGGTACTCCCGGTACTCCTGGGGCTCCCCCTTCTGGTGCTTCCTCTGGATTACCTCCTGCCCCAGGAGCACCAAACCCTGACATCATGTTTGACATCCTGCAATTATCAAGTATATTATTTACCATTCACAAATCATAATAGTATGACTACCTACAAGAAATTCATACAAAGGTACCAAGACCTAATTCTGTCGACATCACAGATAATACAAAATGGAATTAGTTTCTAGGTAATATTGATCTTGTTATGAAAATTTTATTCAGGTTTTGGTTTGAAAAATAAGATTCAATATTTTATTTCCTTTATCAGACTGTAATTGTAATCCTCCACTTTTTGTGTTTATATTTTTTTGGCAACTGGTTTTCTCTGTCAGATATGAATATCTTATATAACTTTTTTTTCTAAGATGAGGCACTTTTCTAAGGTGATACTTAGAAAAGTCAGGTTGGTGCTGACAAATGAATTTAACAGACACATTTCAATGAAATAAATGCCTGGTATGGTTACTACGGTATATGTTACTTGCTTTTGCGCTAATTTAAAATTTTTTAAATATATCATTAGATTTCCTTAATTTAGGTAGATTCAAACTATTCTCAAGAAGGCTAAATATACCAGGCACCATCTTTAATGAAATGCCCAGAAAGTCCATAATCATCACAATGTTATTACATGCACTTTCTTTTATTATTTGAAAATGACTGCAGTTGCATCTTAACATCAACTGTGGAATCTTGAATCAAAGTAAAACTTCTTCTAACGCACTAGAGTGTAATTGAATAATATGCAATCACCCAAAATATCAATAATCAAATTCACAGCTACCAATATATACCAATTGCATGCTATTTTCAAAGTTGGTCATCAAAATCTGAACTTCCAAAGGAGAAGGTACTATTTGACCTTTTAGGCAAAAACATGCTAATTTTTGATACATTTTGACCTAATTAACAAAGAGAACAATCTTCACCCAAAATAACTTTTTGCCAGTTAATAGATAAACACAAAATACACATCCTGTGGGATTATCTTTTTTTTGGTGATAGTTGTGCTTTACATTATTTATATACATGTGCTAGGCAAATAGTCAAGATCTTTCCAAATTTTTGTCACTTTATGGCTTAAATACTCGTAAAAATAGATTTATATTTAACTCATTCGACCCCAAGAGATTTCTCGAAAATCAGGCATTTTCGAAAATTTGCAAACATATGCAAATTATTTCACTCTTGATGCTGTAGCTGATGCTGATCTATTAAACTATGTATTGAGAATTGGGGACAGATGGCATGGGTGGGTGGTGGGGTGGGAGCTGGTATATTTTCTGGTGGGTTTAAACCCACCCCTACTGAAAAATTGTCATTTTCAGTCTATTTTTCGATTTTAATACAACCTTGAGAAGTGAACATTGACCAAACTGTGTTTCTTTGTCATTCAAGTATTACCTGATAGTTACAGTAATCCATCCATACTGACTGGAAGTAAATGTGACTCGAGTGTCTTGCTGGGGAATTATTATTGGCAAGCCAGGTCTGCCTAAATGTCCATTTTACAGATTTCTGACCTAGATTTTACAGACCAGATTTCTTTTGGCCATATTCTACCTCCTTGTGTTCCTGTACCACCTATGCATGTATATATGATAATAGTTAATACCTACAGCCCATACCAGTTACGCAGTGGCCATCAAAAGACTCCCACTCCTACCTGATTTTGGCTACTTTTCATGTTTTTCCGATTTTGAACTTTAAAAGGCCATTAAAGTTGCCATATTTTCATAAACACACATCTGAGAAGAGTTTATGGACCATGAAGTGCATGGTTGAAGTCCCTGCTGTCAAGACAGTTCAGCTGGGGCAGTTCTAAAAAAGTATGGAGAGTCATATGGGCCATCAAAGAATGGTGGTCGCCATCACGACTACAGGCGGGATTGGGGGCGAAGGGGTTAACTACTGTTTAGTTTTATTAAAGTACTTAGATTAAACATTTGATTTTGCAATCCAAGATAATTAGGAATACATTTGAGTTTATGGTAAATTTTTCCTTAAATCGTTACTTCTACTTTTTGTGTGATCGCATGGTTAATTACCGAACAAATTCCTCAAGTTCCATTTTTTTTTTAAGAAAACAGTTTTTTATCTAGTAATTCAAAAGTTCCAAATGATGAAATGAACAATGCTTATATATATATATATACATAGTCTTACATTTGCTGCATTTGTGGATTACCCATCATTTGTGTTGCCTGTAAAAAATTAATTCAGTATGTTATTTGTTATTCTTAAATGTGTTTCTTTCACAATTTGTGTAGTTAACCTAATCTTATAAGATGTTGTCTATTGATAACTAAAGTCATCTATATTTTCTGTCATTTAGGGAATATGATGTTGATGGTAGATCATTGACAGTTACTGTTTAATTCATTTACAACTTTCATAGGCAATTTAGAGTTCAACCTAATGTATAGACCTTTATAGTCTTTAAGTTGCTGTCTCCTTGAAAATATACCCCACATCTCCTTTTATTTATATGCAATAGTAAATTTGAAAAAAAGAAGCTTTTATATATATTACTGATAAATAAAAGTACTGCGAGCCAAGCTCAGAAAAATGGTACCTGCCCCTTACAAATTTCATGATTTGCAAAGGGAAACACAAAAAAATCATTTGGATCATAAAACAAAATGAGAGGTTCACAATGGCATTATATGGTGTAGATTCTGAGAAAGTATCAATGAATTCTAATCAGGAATTTAGAAGTAGGGGATACAAAATTAGCTAATTGAAACTTCAAAATTAATTTGGATAAAAAACAAAATAGGAAGAGCAGAGTGAAAATTTCTGAGAAAGTTTCATTAAATTCTAATTCTTTAAACTGCACAAATAATCTTAAGTTTTGGTCTGTGGCATAACAAATTATGCAATAATTTCTGAACTTACATTAAAAATACAAAAACACAAGTTATATTTTTACAGCTTTTCGCAAAATCTTAAAATCTGAAAGACAAAATCTTACCATTTCCATTACATGTGGGTTATTTAATATCTGACTAAAATCCATGGGTATACCACCACCACCTGATCCTAAACCAAAGCCTGCCTGCAATTCAAAAAACATAAAATGTTACTTTATAAAATGATAAGAAATGGAGACCATCATACAAATACATGTACAAACACTAAGTATAATAATAATAAACTATTTTGAGATGATATAAAAATAAAATGCTTCGCTGGGGCGCAGCTTGATACGACCGCAGAGGTCGAACCCTGAACAGTTGGGGCAAGTATGGACACAACATTCAAGCTTGATACAGCTCTGAATTTGGATTGTTATTAAATATTTGACACAGCATAGGTTTCTGACACAGAAAGAATGTGGTCTAAGAACTTGAATTTTTTTAATTTACCTATTATGGTCCAATGTCCAAAATCAAAATACATGGTTAGATTCAGCATATCAAAGAAACCCATATATTCAATTTTTGTTAAAATCAAACAAAGTTTAATTTTGGACCCCAACTTGGACAAACTTGAAAACTGGGCCCATAATCAAAAATCTAAACACATGTTTAGATTCAGCATATCAAAGAACCCAAAGAATTCAATTTTTGCTAAAATCAAACTAAGTTTAATTTTGGACCCTTTGGACCTTAATGTAGACCAATTTAAAAAACGGGACTTAAAATTAAAAATCTAAATACACGGTTAGATTTGGAATATCAAAGAACCCCAATAATTCAATTTTTGATGAAATCAAACAAAGTTTAATTTTGGACCCTTTTGACCTCAATATGAACCAATTTGATAGCGGGGCCCACAAATAAAAAATCTAAATTCATGGTTAGATTCAGCATATCAAAGAACCCCATATATTCAATTTTTGTTGAAATCAAAAAAAGTATAATTTTGGACCCCAACTTGGACCAACTTGAAAACTGGGCCCATAATCAAAAATCTAAACACATGTTTAGATTCAGCATATCAAAGAACCCCAAGAATTCAATTTTTGTTAAAATCAAACTAAGTTTAATTTTGGACCCTTTGGACCTCAATGAAGACCAATTTAAAAAACGGGACCCAAATTAAAAATCTAAAAACACGGTTAGATTTGGCATATCAAAGAACCCCAAGAATTCAATTTTCTATGAAATCAAACAAAGTTTAATTTTGGACCCTTTTGACCTCAATATGAACCAATTTGATAGCGGGGCCTACAAATAAAAAATCTAAATACATGGTTAGATTCAGCATATCAAAGAACCTCATATATTCAATTTTTGTTGAAATCAAACAAAGTTTAATTTTGGACCCCAATTTGGACCAACTTGAAAACTGGGCCCATAATCAAAAATCTAAATACATGTTTAGATTCAGCATATCAAAGAACCCCATATATTCAATTTTTGTTGAAATCAAACAAAGTTTAAATACTGGACCCTATCTTGGACCAACTTGAAAACTGGGCCCATAATCAAAAATCTAAACACATGTTTAGATTCAGCAAATCAAAGAACCCCAAGAATTCAATTTTTGTTAAAATCAAACTAAGTTTAATTTGGACCCTTTGGACCTCAATGTAGACCAATTTAAAAAACAGGACCCAAAATTAAAAACCTAAATACACAGTTAGATTTGGAATATCAAAGAACCCCAATAATTCAATTTTAGATGAAATCAAACAAAGTTTAATTTTGGACCCTTTTGACCTCAATATGAACCAATTAGATGATGGGGTCCACAAATAAAAAATCTAAATACATGGTTAGATTCAGCATATCAAAGAACCCCATATATTCAATTTTTGTTGAAATCAAACAAAGTTTAATTTTGGACCCCAATTTGGACCAACTTGAAAACTGGGCCAAAAATCAAAAATCTAAATACATGTTTAGATTCAGCATATCAAAGAACCTCATATATTCAATTTTTGCTAAAATCAAACAAAGTTTAATTTTGGACCCTTTGGACATTAATGTAGACCAATTTGAAAACTGGACCCAAAATTAAAAATCTAAATACACTGTTAGATTCGGCATAACAAATAAATAAATGTGATCAAAGATTTTACAAATCTAATGCGCCATACTGTGCAATTAAAGATTACTTCTTGAAATTTTTCAATATTTGAAATTTGAAAAAAAAATAATATTTGAAGAATAATTCTTTTTAATTTCTGAAATCTGAAATGAGAAAAAATTGGCCCCCCCCACAATTTCTTTTTATCCCCCCCCCCCCCCTTTTTCCCCCAAAAAAATTCTTTCCCTCAAGATATGGTCATAATCTCAATTCAAATTTCCAATGGAGTTGGCAACCATAATTACCCATTTAAATTTACCATAGTGCTAACTTAATCTATTTTATAATAGAATTAATAAAAATATAGTGTCAAATCTTTCATATGGATTTTTTTGTAAAAAAAAAAGATGAAAACATTTGCAGATATTTTTACTGGTCTTCCTTTATAAATATGCATTTCTTTAAACATAATTTAAAAGCAGTGTAAGGGAAGTAACCAAAACGTTGTATTTTGATTACCTCCCTTACACTGTTTTAGATTATCTTTATTGTTCATTAACCATTACTTTATACATAATTTAAAAGCAGTGTAAGGGAGATAATTTCAATGATGTATTTGATTTATCTCCCTTACACTGCTTTAAATTATGTTTTGTACTAAAGTATTTGTCCATTAACCAGGACAACCTTGTTTTTCCCCCTTTTTTGCCCCTAATTCCTAAACGGTTTGAGCCATAACCCCCCAAAGCAAATCCTAACCATCCCTTTGTGGTATGGAAACTTGTAGTATAATTTCAGAGAGATCCATACACCGTTCCACAGTTATTGTCTGGAAACTAGAAAATGCTCATTTTTGGCCCCTTTTTGGCCCCTAATTCCTTAACTGTTGGTACCATAACCCCCAAAATCAATCCCAACCTTCCTTTTGTGGTATTTAACCTTATGGTCAAATTTCAGAAAGATCCATTCACTTAAACTAAAGTTAGAGTGCGAAAACCAATATGTATTCGGACGACGACGCCGGATGACGACGACGACGACGACGACGACGACGCCAACGTCATACCAATATACGACCACAAAATTTTTTTGCGGTCGTATAAAAAATGAACTGTTGACACAGAGATATGTCTCGTCTTTTTGTAATTTTGATAGTATAATGCCAATGTTCAAATTAAAATGGCAATAACTATGCAAAACATTCAGTCAATAAACCATGACTGAAGGCACAGGGCCAAATAACTTCCATGGAAACGAGAAATGCCAAATCTTATCAATTTACGTACCAAATACCATTGACTTATCATAAGTTGTTCCCTTTAAACTGACTTAAACATAAACTTTAACTTGTAAACTATGCAAAAGATCAAAAGTCTATGAACCATGATGAAGATTAATTGATTGGTGATTGCTTTATGCTGCATCTGCACAAAAAGGCTATATCGCGGTGACCACCATGATGAGGAGGCAGGGCGCATATAATCTTCATGGAAATGAGACATGCAAATGCTAATACAACTGCATACTAAATATCATTGACTTTACATAAGTGGTTCATCTTCAACTGATCTAATCACAAACTTTAACATTTTAACTATGAAAAACATTCAAAGTCATAGACCATGACTGAGGGGGATGGACCAAATAATCTCCAGGTAAATGAAATGTACCAATGCTAATACAACTGCATACTAAGCATCATTTATTAACTACTTGTGGTTCCCCTTAAACTGACCTAATCACAAAATAATGCATGTTAACTAAGCATTGTTAATAATTGTTGATGACACCCCTGCTGTCGCCAATGCCGGAAACAGCATACCTTAGACTTGCTTTTTGACTACGTCAAGGCGAGACAAAAATGAATCTGATGGATTATACCATATAAGGGATACTGTGGATTCATTATTATTCATTGGATACCAATTTTCATGGATTCATTAGTAGAGGCAAACCATGAATTTAAAAGTTCAATCAAGCATAAATTTCCACGAAAATATATTTCTCCAATCCATAATAAAATGCTTCGCTGAGCGCAGCCTGATACAACCGCAGAGGTCGAACCCAGAACAGTTGGGGCAAATTTGGACACAATATTCAAGCTTGATACTGTCTGAATTTGGATTGTGATCAAATTTTTTACATAATATAGGTTTCTGACACAAAATAAATGTGGTCAAAGATCTTATAAATCCATTGCGCAATACTGTGCAATTGAAGATTTCTTCTTGAAACTTTTCAAAAATTCGAAATTTTAAAAATTTTGAAAAAAAAAAATGTTTTTTGAATTTCTTAAAACAATTGGGAAAAAAATTCCCCCCCCCAACTTTTTGAACCCCCCCCCCCCTTGGAGCAATAACCCCAAAACTCAATCCCAGCCCCTTTCCTTTGTAGTATCGAACCTTGTAGTACAATTTCTGAGATATCCATACACTTACACACAAGTTATTGTCTGGAAACTAGAAAAATGCTTGTTTTTGGCCTTTTTTTGGCCCCTAATTCCTACATGTTTGGGGCAATTAACCCAAACTCAATCCAAGCCTTTCCTTTGTTATATGGAACCTTGTGGTACAATGTCAGAGAGATCCATACACTTACACACTAGTTATTGTCTGGAAACTAGAAAAATGCTTGTTTTTGGCCCCTTTTTGGCCCTTAATTCCTATACTGTTGGCTCCATAACCCCTAAAATGAATCCCAACCTTCTACTTGTAGTATTAAACATTGTGGTACAATTTCAGTGCAATCGAAATACTTATACACAAGTTATTATCCTGAAACTAGAAAAATGCTTGTTTTGGGTCCCTTTTTGGGCCCCTAATTCCTAAACGGTTGGGACCATCATCCCCGAAATAAATCCCAACCTTCCTTTTGTGGTATTGAACCTTCTTAAAAAATTTCATAGAGATCCATTCACTTTAACTAAAGTTATTGTCCGAAAACCAATGTGTCTACGGACGCAGACGTAGACGAAGACATCATACCATTATACGATCCCAAAAAATTGTTTGCGTTCGTATAAAAATTGATATCCACAAAAACAAATGAATCCACAGTAATATCATTTACAAAGTACTCCTTAAACTGGACTACTTCCAAGGTCAAGCTAGTTCTATCGACATATCTAATTTATGTAAAATATACAAAAATAGAGAAGGACCATAAGTGAGGGAGTTGGTCTAAAAATATAATCCTCATGGAAATGAGATGTACTGATTCTCATTCACTTACCATTGGTTTGACATAAGTGGTTCCTGTTAAACTGACTTACCACAGGGATGTTTAACAATTCTTACTACCTGAAGACGTGTCGGCTAAACTAACCTTACCAAAATGCTTAACATATAAAACATGAAAATAATTCAGTCATTGAAAAGTAACCAAGGGACTAGGGCTAAAAAATATATTGAATTGATGCCAATAGCATATCAAATAAACGGATTCATGTCAAACTGACCTACTGTGTACCTGCCAATCTCTGAAAAGTCATTTTTTTTATCAACATTGTAAATATCTGTCCTATTTGGTTGCCCAAAACCGTCTGCAATCATTTTCAAACAGAATTTTGCCTTCCTTCTCTTCGTAAAAATTTGTTATCTTAGTGGAAACAAATAATGTCATCTCCAGGGTTTCAAAGCAGTCATATTGAAGGCCTCACTGTGACTTTGAGATGAAGAACAGCAATAAAAGCGCTGTTCCTTTGCTTTTTGTGTGTTTTGTTTGCTGTGCATGTACTGATTTTGTGTCACGGATGGATACCCCATATCCTTTGTTTTTCTATTATATTGCCTGGCCATGACCTTTTTCTCATAAAACTTTTTTACTTCATGTAATCTAGTAGTAGACAGTGTGAAATAATGGGATGTATTGTTTTATATCTTTATTTATAGTTATAAATGGATAACATCAATATCAAATGTCACTATTAAATATTTGTGACAAGTATCAGGAAAATATACCTTAGCAGCTTCTTCTTTTAATTTTTGTTCGGCTATTTCTAGATTATTTTGATATGACTGGTTAGTAGGATCTAATTCTAAAGCTTTTCTGTAACATTCCAGTGCACTTTCATGGTCATTTAATGCTGTGTATGCTATACTGTAAAAATATAAATCACACATTTTTGTTAAAATTACTGAATGAATATCACCTAAACTAATACAGCCTTAACAGTTACATAAATATAATTTAATTAAAAATGATATGGTATTAACTACATATAAAGATAAAGATTAAATGTTCCCATCATAAATTATGTGTTGTATGTATTGTTTGAATGCTATATTCATTTATTATATACTTAGTAGATAAATTGTATGTGTAATACAATCATTGGCAAGCGTGCTGTATCAGCCACCCGTGATGATATCGATATCAGCACGCGTACGGTTGCAAAGGCTTTATCACACCTTTAATCTGTATGACATCACGTCATCGATTGCAGTCACTGTTGTAAAGTCTTTATCAAACCCCTAATCTGTATGACGTCTCGTCAAACCTGTAATATGTATGACGTCATTTCAAACCTCCTTATCTGTATGACGTCATGTCACATACAAAATTCAACATGAGGTGTATATGTATATAATAAAGTGTATATGATACGGCTTTTTCAATATCACACACTGTATCAACCCTCAACCAATATAATCCCTCGAGCAGAGCTCTTGGGATTATATTGGTGTCTCGGGTTGATACGGATGTGATATTGAAAAAGCCATATGATATTCTATATTTATCATTGATCAATCTGAATTGTATCAGATTATTGACCTGATTGACATCCTAGTGCTGTGTACCATTCTTAACCTTGCCAGCATCTTAAAAATAGAAAAAACCCAGGCCATGAACATGATGTATTTGAAATTAGGAAAAGTACCATTAATTATTATTTATCCGTTACATCATATATATATTATACTGTATACTAATAAAAGGAGATGTGGAGTACCTCAACTAGACAGCAATCAAACACCCCAATAAAACCAGAAAAGACATCAAGAGGCCAACAAATAATCTTCAAAAATAAATATCATTATGTGTTCATACCATATCTATACATTAACTGTCTCTTAATTTTCCAGAGCTTCACTATTAAGCAACTTTATGTTAATTTGTTTGAACCACTGGACTAAACCAAATAAGTATTTCTCAAATCGTTGAAATAACTGATATCTATGATTTTAATACATACCCCATCCTACCATATGCCTTGCTATACTGTGGATCTATTGTTAATGCCTTTTCACAATCTTCTATAGCTTTTACATGTTTGTTCAATTTACTATATGCTGCTGCCCTGCAAATAGTAAATGGTACTTTTGATCAAATGTACTTCAATTTTACATGTTATAACAAATTTCAAGTGAAACATAAAGAAGTTTCATTTAAGAAACATTTCTGTAATTTTCAATGGTCTGTTCAAAGGGAGATAATTTCACATTGTTTATGTTCAGGACCATATGAGTATTTGGACCATACACGTATGGTTTGAGCATATGAGTATATACTTGTTTGGTTATCAACGGGCCAGACCATATGAGTATTTAGACCATATAGGTATTTTTCGAACAAATTCTAACTTCCTTCATACGAATATATAGCTTGTTCTCCAAACCAAAATTTCTAACTAAAATCCTTTATCTTTGACATCCTAATTGTAATGTTTTACCTATTACAGAAAAATACTGAATTATGACTATCTAGTTTCAAAGCTTGTGTATAACATTCCAAAGCATCTGAAAATTTCTCTGCCTTCATGAACTCATTTCCTGAAAATAAATACAACTTTACATTACATCAGAGTAAATTCTACACAAGTATAAATGATCCTACTACATATACGTACTGCAATATTATAACTTGGATGTAAAACTTAACCAAAGTCAATAAAGCATAAAAACTTAGTAACAGTACCCTACTTTTACCCTGATACTGTCATATTCTTCAAGATATAACTCTATGTAGGTTTAGACGATCATATTACTTATAATAATCAAGACATTAACCCTGACTTAAATCTAGAAAAAAAGTCAATGACGGTGACCTATAGTTGTTAATTTCTGTGTAATTTTGGTCTCTTGTGGAGATTTGTCTCATTGGCATACATACCACATCTTCTTATTCTTATATCAATAAAGCTTGAAATGTAGTTCACAGTGACATACATTTACTTTGATGCTGACCTACTCCCACAAATAAATCTCTTCCCAGGTTAAGATGATCCTAATACTTATAGTTATGAAAATATTAACTTTAATGTAAAACTTAACAAAAGTCAACAAAGAGTTAGCTATAGGTCACAGTGACCTACTTTAGCCTGGAAGCTGATCTAATCACTGAAACATATTTACACAAGTTTGGATGATCCTTTTTCTTCTAGCTACCAAGATATGGAATCGAGCTCAAAATCAAACCAACATCAGCTTGGACATAAACCTTGACCAAAATCATTGAATTATGAATATGAGTACAATGTTCTTTCCTTGCAATACAAAGTTTAAATGTACCTGCATACAAAGTTCTAAGATAAGTGGCCTTATAGGTACTGATATCTGCCTGCAGACATAAATTAGCTTGCACAAAGACACAAAGAGTTCTTATATAATTCTTCTTCAACTTTATGTAATGAAAACATGTAAGCAATGTTAAACAAAAATTTTGGATTGCAATTTAATACCTTTGTTTTTTAATATTTCTGCCTCTTCTTTTTCTTCTGGTGTTGGTTCATGTATTGACAAAGAATCAAATTCTGCTTCTGGCTGCAAAAAAAAATCTTTAATGAAATACATTTAATGTGTAAATTCATACCAACATGCTTCCACACTCTATCTATTGTGTCAAGTCATTATCTTATTTCATTACAAAATTTGAAAATGGAAATGTTAAATTTTTTCATTTTGTATTGACAAGAGGACTTATCACTCATGGGTGCATGACAGATCTGAAAAGTGCACACACATTACAACTCATCACTATTGAGTTATTAATGAAATATGGGGTCATTCTGTTGAATGGTTTCTGAGAAAATTTTCAAGTTTAAATGTTACAGGCACATTTAGGACAAATGATGAACCAAAAGATGCACAATAACCACAGTTTAATTTTTCAAAATTCTTACCTCACTAGATATCTGAGAATTAAAGATGTCCAGTAAATTTTTTGGCACAGACAGCTTCTTCACTTGTGCTGGATCTTGTGTGCTTACAGCATATGTGGACTCTAAACACTGTATTGCAACTGAAAGAATTAATTAAAAAAAATATACTAAATTATATATATCAGTAAAGTGTGATTTAATTTCATATCAGTTTACATGACAATGTTCTGCATAAATATATGTAAAAAATCTGAAATAATCAATGCATTAAAAAAATGGTTTTGAATAGTTTGGAGGAAAAAAAATCTTCAGTTTTATCCATTTCAAAATTGAGAAACATTTAACATCTCTTATAGTAACCTTGCTTTATGAATCTACTTTGAAGTACAGCTTAAGCTATCAGAGTGAACTGTAGGATGGCATGGTTAAATCTGAACTTGCTTTTAGTAACAATGAGCATTCTTTGATACCATATTTGGTACTGTTTTATTTGTACCTGAGACAGCATTTTGTTGTCTATTATTCAAGGAATGACTGTAATATTTTTTCTGTCTATGAAGAAATAACATCAAAAATGTGGTGCACACTGAATAATCCGCGTAGCGGGTTATTTTAAAGTGTGCACCACATTTTTGATGTTATTTCTTCATAGACAGAAAAAATATTACAGTCATTTCTTATAATTTAATTCTAAATTCCATTTTAAACCGGAGTAAACCATGAAAAAACGTTGATGACGTCACGGTCACATGACAAAATTATGTCTATGAGCAGATAAACAAAACAACGTCAGCCAATCAGAAGACGTGTTACATCAAAAATTAAATTATACAAGGATATAGATAACTGCTTTTTCTGTAATGATTTATGATGATATTTTATGTACATTTTGCTTGAAAGTTGAGTGCTAAAAAAATTCTATAAATTCAGAGATGTTGCTGGCATTTACAGAGGTCTCAAATGTGCTTGTCTGTTTAGTGGACAATGATTAATTACTGGTCTGCACAAAATTTTACACAAAAAAAATATTCTCTTTTTTGAATATATATATGGTCCAGAGTTTTTATCTGGTTTTGACCTTGAAACTGGTGTCCTTCACCATTTCTTCATTTACTGTTTCAACTGTCCACCTTTCATAAATGCTTTAGGGAAAACAATGAGTGTCTATTGACATCTTAATCTCTTTTTTTTGTATTGTTTGGTTCTGGTTGCTGTATAATTGATGTAAACCTCACTTTAAATTAAAAGATACAGTTCAGGGTTGGCAAAAACCCGGGTTTTATGAGTATTGCCCAGTGGGAAATACTGGGAAAACCCGGGTTTTACTGGGTTTTACCGGGTAATACTGGGCAATACTGGATAATATGAAATACTGGCCTGAATTTCAAAGAGGATTCAGTGATTAATCACAAACGCAATACATTAAAATCGAAGAATTCAATTTGTTTTTTTTTAATAAATATAACTAATATTAAGAATTAACAATTCTATGTAAGGAAAATTTACTAAGTTTTAGCAAATGTTTATGTACATCACTAATCAATAAGTAATTATTCAGATTATTATACAGATTTGTTTATATAACAATAATCAGCCTTTTGATTTCTATAAGTGTTCTTGGCCTGTCCCCTTAGGGTGTTTATTTAGCAATATGATTGTATAACAATTAAAATTTACAATTCACTTAAACACTACTTTGCCAACCCTGAAAGTTAGTCTATGAAAACAAAACTGACCTTCTAATCCTTCTACTCCTTCATCACTAAGATTTGCAGCCGTTTTCTGATCCTCCAGAAAACGTATTATTGAGAACACCAATTTGTTAACATCTGCCATTTCACCTTATCTAAAAAATTTCAAACAATGCATTATTATATTCAAATACTGAACAGTCTAATTTTTGTTTATTTCTTTGATAATGAAATATGAATCTGACCATAAATGTAAAAACAATTGAAAGTCCTGGTAGAAAAAAAAATAGGAGTCACAAAAACCATGTCTAAATATGGGAGTCTGCATGAAATAACATACACATATTTACTATATAACTTTTTTTTTGTAACTTGCTAATGAATACTGAAAATTCAGAAATTATTGCGTGCATTTATTATTGCGATTTTCAATAATGGACAAAAATTCTAGTTTAATTATTGCAATTTTTGCGATTTTGAAAAATCTGCATTTAGGTCTATGTTTCAGTTATCAGAATGTGAGTTCTTATTATTGCGATACTCACACAGTCGAATTATTCGCATTAATAAAAACCTGATAATAATTCCTGAATTTACAGTACTTTGTTATTATGGTATTCACAATAAAATTTTTGTACTTATTGATGAAAACCTTAGGTTAGATAAAGCGTGTCAATCATATGATTGTACAGACTCAGTGGCTGACAACACTTGACATTGTAATAAAATGTCATAATTTGTGTGCTCCTAGACTGTCTTGTCCTTGTTTGAATCAAATACTTTTTCTTCAACATCTTTGATCATGTTGCTTTTTGGTTTTGCATGTATGCCTTCTGCTGCTGGCAAATGTTCAGGGTTGGTTTCATGCCTGGTAAAACAATATACTGAATATTCAAGTAATCCCAAATAAGCAAATGTGTTTTCTTTTAAGAGTCTCTGCACCATTTTAAAGCAAACTTGAATTTAATTGTTTTTTTCCAACTTTTCTAACCACAGAAATTTGGGAAGCCCCATTCATCACTAAATTTCTCTTTTAAACAGATCTACTATCAGAATGTGATTTTTCATTACGTTCACCAGTTTCATACTGTGAATGAGCATTTTCAATTTCCAAAACCTCCTCCGCTGGTCAATGACGATCTTATAAACTCACCTCTGTGACATCTAAAAATTGCTAATTAAGCTCAGTTATAAGAATCTTTTTACGCAAAACATCTTTTAATTACGTAAGATTTATATTTGCTTATACATATACTACAGTTAAAACAAATTGTGCTTCCTATAGGAGTGGCTTCTTTGTTACACACACGTCTAAATCCAATTTAGAGCATTAAATTAAACCACACCTCTAGTCCTTAGGATTCCTGATAGACAAAGTATTATGTGCACTTCAGATTTCTTTATGTTTGTTATACATTCCCATAACACGGCAGATATGTAACTTTTACTCTGCTTTGATACTGGCTGAATTTGAAAATAGTTGCTGTAGATCTCACCATTCTCTAAATTATCTACGTTGTTATTTTCATTCTTAAACTTTAATTATATAACTGTTCAATGCTAAACATTAAAACAATCATAGAGGTGAGAGACGTAATAGTAATACCTATACTGAAAATTACTATCAACAGCATCAACAGCTACATTGTATTGAATCTAATGCTTATAAACTGTGAATTACAATCAATAGCTAATGAAACTAATTCTTATAAAATCCAGTCTATAAATGAAGCCAAACAGCTTGAGACTAATTAATTAATTTTAAAAATTATATTCATGTTTTTCCACAATTTTATCTTTTTCCATACATTAATGAAACAACTACATTAAGTTTTTACCACAATTTCATCTTTTTCCTTACATTAACGAAACAACTTCATTCAGAAACATGTAAAAAAACCATCATACAATTAATATGCTCAAGGAAGCATAAATGGGTTGAATTGGGTTTATACCACTGTGATGCTGAACAAAAGAAGGAAGACTTTTTATCTCTTTTCGGTTTCTATCAAAAGGAAGAAAACTTTTTTCCTGTTTTAGGTTTTAGTTTTTTTCAGGATTTTTTTTTATAAAATATCATAAAGCAGCTTATGATTTCATGCAAATTTGGATCTGATTTACACCAAAAAGGAGCATCTGATTTCCTGCAAATTTATATGTGATTTACGAAAAGCATGATGACGATTAAAACAAACATGCATTATGCAGTAAGGCCTTGATCGTTTCGGCCATGTACTACTTTTGCCATGTAATAAAAGTCGTTTTGGCCTTATTTTCATATCATATCAAAAAGAGATTTTGTTGTAAATGTTTTATATACTTTCATTTATATACCTTTTATAATTAAAAAATAACCTTTTTTTAACCTTTAGTAATGATGTTTTATTCGAATAGTCCTCTTTGTCAGTAGGGAGACTCTGGTAAGTAGTATTTGAAAGAAAAAATTTATTAAAAAAAAAAATTGACCTCGTTTCCCAAGACCAAGATTTCTATCACTTAGTTCATCCCTGACAGATTTAGATTTAAGACTTTAAAAGCATTCAGGTAAAAGCATGACCTTGTGCAATGCTGAAATTTAAGTTTTGACAGTGTGCAAAATCATAAATTTATATGTTAATAACTGGATTGCAATGTGTAATATTCACTGGTGTATTGTATTAGAACAATAAATTAAAGATTGTTACAGTTTTTTTTAACAGATCAATTTGGGCATTTGTCTTAGCATGCTTAGGGGACGATCATTTGATTTTTTTGGGGGGCAGGACGATTTTGAAAATAAATATCCTGTCCATGCTAAAGCTGGAAATAAATAACCTTGCATAAGACAGGATGAAAATAAATATCCTGCAATACAATATACAGGAATCAATCGTGGAAAAAAATTAACATGCATGCATTAATATCATGAAATATAAAAAAAAATAAGATTGACATGGTTTCATTAGAAAAACTCTGTATTGGCTTTATAAAACCAATTTTAGAGTTTGTGGACATTATTTGGGATAAATGTACCCAGGAAGAGTCTGAGCAGGAAGTTCATAAATATAAATCATGATGTCCTGCTCTATGGGAACCCAGATCTCAATATAGATGAAAATATTGAAATATTTACAATTCTAACATGACGTTCTTCAAACGCTTTGAGTACACACCCGTGGTAAAATATGAATATATTGTTTGGGCTGTTCAGATCGTACTCCCACTTCAAATGCTTTTTTATGAATGAGCTACCTGACGTCATAGAGCAATGACGTAAGAATATAAGCATTTTAAGGGAAAATACACGCTTGTGAAACCTAAAAACATCACAACTAGGAAACGTAAACAAACAATGCTAAAACGTGTTAAAAGCCATTTTTTTTATACATATAAGACATATAAATAAAAGTATCATTTAACTTCATCCAAACCTATCTAAATATGTTATTGTAAATAGTTTAGGTATGTCACTAATTCAGTTTGCTCCGTTCTTTTACGTCAATTTAATAGTGCGTTTATTTATGAGAACGGCAAATATTTGCATTTACCTAGAGCGCTTTGATCAAAAGAATTGCTGTATTTGTCCTATTAGAATAGAAATAATTCATGGGGGTTGAATTTATACTGATTTTACCACAGGTTTGCCCTTTATGCCGATATTTTACCCCTCGCTGTCGCTCGTGGTAAAATATTTAGCATAAAGGGCCAACACGTGGTAAAATCAGTATAAATTCAAGCCCCCATGAATTATTTCTTAAATGTACAACAATATATATTGAAAACACAAGAAAATTTCAATGATGTTAAAGTCAGATGAAACTTCAAATTAAAAAAAAAATTGAATATGTTTTATATACACGTACTTGAATGGCTAAGTTTTACCATGGAACAAGTGTACGTGAACTTTCTTGTATAAAAAGAAAATCCTTTATCTTATCAAAGTCTTCATTAATGTACTACTTTTGAATAATTGTCTCCCCGTTCACTAGTTCGTTGATATTTTCCAGTATGCAGTGACCTTAAATACAAGACCTGTCATAAGAACTTTGGCCACCGCACAGCACAAGTGCGAGGGAAAAACGTGAAGAAAGAATGTAAACAAAGGTGGACATGAAGGTAAAAAGTAATAACTGATTCTTAAGAACAAATTAAATACACCAAATCGTATAACATTAATAACAGTCAACTTAAGGGAAAGTTTAATTAAATAAAATGCTCCGCTTGGCGCAGCTTGATACAACCACAGAGGTCGAACTCTGAACAGTTGGGGCAAGTATGGCCACAACATTCAAGCTTGATACAGCACTGAATTTGGATTGTGATTAAATATTTGACACAGCATAGGTTTCTGACACAGAATGAATGTGGTCTAAGAACTTAAATTTTTTTAATTCAAACCATATCATTATTATTTGCTTTTATATATAAATCAGAAATAACCAATTTAAAATGGAAAATTTTAAAGAAAAAAAGGAAACCCCCCCCCCCCCCCCCCAATTTTTTTTGAACCTCCTTATAATTCATCACCCCCAAACTCAATCCCAGCCTTCCCTTTGTGGTATGGTACCTTGCAGTACAATTTCAGAGAGATCCACACACTTTAACACAAGTTATTGTCTGGAAACTAAATAAAATGCTTCGCTGGGGCGCAGCTTGATACGACCGCAGAGGTCGAACCCTGAACAGTTGGGGCAAGTATGGACACAACATTCAAGCTTGATACAGCTCTGAATTTGGATTGTTATTAAATATTTGACACAGCATAGGTTTCTGACACAGAAAGAATGTGGTCTAAGAACTTGAATTTTTTTAATTTACCTATTATGGTCCAATGTCCAAAATCAAAATACATGGTTAGATTCAGCATATCAAAGAACCCCATATATTCAATTTTTGTTAAAATCAAACAAAGTTTAATTTTGGACCCCAACTTGGACAAACTTGAAAACTGGGCCCATAATCAAAAATCTAAACACATCTTTAGATTCAGCATATCAAAGAACCCCAAGAATTCAATTTTTGCTAAAAATCAAACTAAGTTTAATTTTGGACCCTTTGGACCTTAATGTAGACCAATTTAAAAAACGGGACTTAAAATTAAAAATCTAAATACACGGTTAGATTTGGAATATCAAAGAACCCCAATAATTCAATTTTTGATGAAATCAAACAAAGT